GGGGAAAAAAAAGAGTGAATTTTAGGATGAAGCTTGAAAAATACAAAAAAAAAGAAAATGTGGTAAATGTATATAATGGAATATTATTCAGCCATAAAGAAGAATGAAATTATGGCATTTGCCAGTAAATGGATGAAACTGGAGACTATCATGCTAAATGAAATAAGCCAATCCTTAAAAACCAAAAGCCAAATGTTCTCTCTGATATGCAGATGCTAACTCACATCAAGCAGTGGGAAGGGAAGAATAGGAAGTGCATTGGATATGACAAAGGGTAATGAATGGAAGGGAGAGGGAATGGGAATAGGAAAGACAGTAGAATGAATTGGACATAATTTTCCTATGCTCATATATGAATACACGACAAGTAAAATTCCACATCATGTACGACCCCCCAAATGGGAAATTGTACTTTATGTATGTATAATATGTCAAAATACATTCTACTGTCATATGTAACTACAAAGAACAAATAAAATCTTTCTTGTTAAAAGTGAGGTCCCATTGTCCATCTGTTCACTCCAGGAAGAGATACAGACAGACATGGAGTCCTGCACCATCCTTAGACACAAATTTCCAAGCCTGCTCCAATATGAACAAATAACACCCTCAGTCTGGTGAACAACTGCCACTCTGAACTGAATCTTCTATTTCCTATGCTCCATTTAATTGTCTTTTTTAATTTACTCCCTGCCTTAAGGGAACATATACTCTAGAAGTCTTCTTAGAAAGAATAGATGAGAAGTAAATTTAATGAAATTTGGGGTACCTGAACATGTCTTTATCCTACTTCCCACTTTATTAATAATTTGGCTTGCTATAGAATTTGGGGTTGGGAATAATTTTCATTATCTATAGCTTCCAGTGTTGCTATTGAGAAATCTACAAATATTCTGACTCCTTTTTATGTGTTTGCTTTTAGGAACTTCTCTCCAGTGTTTTTGAAATTTTGTCATAAAATGTCTTCTCATCAATTGTGATTAACACTTAGGTGACCTTTTCTACCTGGAAACTCGGGGCCTTTCCTCTGTGGAATTTTCCTGAATTACTTCCTTGATTATTTTCTCCCCTCTGTTTCTCTAATCTCTCACATTAGAATGTTGGATTCCTGGATGTTAAGTCTCTTCACTTGAGTCTCCTGTTTTCTTATCTTTCTTGCCTGTTGTTTATCTTTCTGTCTTTTGTTCTGTTTCGTAAAGATTTCCTCGACTTTGTCTTTCAAACTTTCTTTTGAATTTTTAATTTCTCTACCATGTTTTATTTCTGCTACCATATTGTTGTTCTATGAATATTTCTTTTTACAAGGAGGCTATTTTTAATGACTGCAATATCATCCTGTAACTCTCTAAGGATATCAATATAGGGCATTTGTTTTAAAGTTTTATTTTCCAAGTTGTTCCTTCTTGTGATCTATATCATTCATATTAAAAGATTCCTCAGATACTTGATGATCCTTGATTGACTGTTCATGCTTAAAAGTGGGGGAATTAAATTTTTTTATTTGTTCTTTTTAGATATACATGACAGTAAAGTGTATTTTGATATATCGTGTGTACATGGAGTATAACTTGTTTTAGTTAGGATCCCATTCTTGCAGATGTACATGATGTGGAGTTTCATTGGTCATGCAGGAATTAAAATTTTGTTTGGAGGATCTGAATGGATGGATGGACTTATCAACTTCAGCTTCACTGTAAGGGGATCTGGGGTGGTCCTTTTTTGGGAAACCATCTCAGCATCTTTTCCATTGGGCTGGTGTTTTTTCACTCTTGTTTGGAAGGTAGAAGTCTGGCTTCCAGAATTTGGGTGCCCAGTGAGGAAAGAGGGGTGCAGGAGTTAGGTGGGGGTGGGGCGCCTGCCATCTTCATTCACTGTGCATGAGTGTATGTAATCCATGTGTCTTCAGCATGGCAATCCCATCCTCAAATATGTGAGATGTTGCCCAATTCAAGCTCTCTGCTTTATCTGCTCCAGAGAACAATATTCCATATTTCTGCTAGGGTTGGAGAAGGAAATTGCCCAGTGGTAGTATGAAATAGGAGCTTTGGCTCTAATTGCCATTCAAACAACTGTCACCTATTCTCCTTAGTTTAACCCTTATTCTTCTCCCAACCTTAACTCTAAGTTGTCTCCAGTTCTGCCGTTCCTGAGTCTTCTGGGCATCCTGGGCTGTCGACTGGGTTGTTTTCCAGGAAGTCCCACTTAGGATTTCAAACACCTGTCACTACCATTGCTTTTCCTATTTTTGGACTTGCTAATTTTTGCCATTTAAATTTTTTTTAAAAAAATCATTTTTCCTTAGTTTTAGCAGAATTTCAGAGGATAATGAAGTTGGATGTGTGTGTTTAATCTTCCATCTTATCTGAATTCATTTAAGAACTCTACCATGAACTGCCTTCAACCTAAAATTCAAAGTCATCAACTTCGACGTTAGTCAGCTCCTTACCAATCTTATTTTACCTTCTGTTTCTATTGGAAAACCATGATCCTGACAGATTTAATTAATAATCATTCTCCAAATATAGTTTGTATTATCTTCACTGATGATCTTCTGTATCTCCAGAATCCCCTGCTCCCAATTAATTACATTCTTGCTCATTTTTAAGCACAGTTTAAGCACATCCACCTCTGTCAGAGAATATACCTCACTTAACTACCCTGTCTGCATACAGTTGAAACCATATCCTTGGGTCATAATACATCTTCTAACAGTAATTAGTTTCTGTTCCAATACTCCTCTATCCCACTTAAAGCCATACAGAAAAGTTTCGGGTTTCCCAGAAGCAAGTGTTTTTGTGATGTACACAGAATTAATCCTAAATCTCTTGGTCTGGGTAGTTTCATGTTATATGTTCCATTTTTTTTCCAATTATCCTGGTATCTGACCACCAGTTGCTGCCTGTCCTTGTTGCCTATGGTAACCACAACACTTAGACCTGATAACCAGCTCCTCCTCCCAAGTTACAACCTTGGCTTCCCACTCGAAGTATGACTTGGATTTAGAAACAACAATCAAACAAAAAACTGC